AAATAAAAAAAATAAAACATCACTCAGCAGAAAGAGCAACAAGTTCTTCTTCTGTTCCCTCTTTCCATTCTTGGTATGTCTTCATTGTCTGATTTGTCTCGTCCTGCATAGTTGCAAGGCACTGAGCCACACGCTGCAAAAACTCCACATCAAGTCCAGTGAGTTTTAATAATTCATTCTTTATGTTATCTCTGTTATCTGTGGCATGATTATTGAAGTTATCATTATTATTATCATTATTATGATTTCCTTGTTCCTCTTTCTCTGTCTCTTTTTTCTCCCAGTCACAACGGAGTAACTTTGTCAAAAACTCATCCACTACAGCAGCCTTAGATGGATCCTTCTCATCCTCATCCTCCGCATTGCATTCCAATACTTCTGATGTATTGGTTACTTCACAATGGCGATTTTGACGCATCTCTTCAAGATCCCGCTGTAATACAGTCTCAAGTTCCCCACAGAGATCACGAAGAACGCATAAACGAGCATCTTCTTCATTTTGAACATCTGTTGCTTCTTTAAATTCTCTCAAAGCCTCTCTTTTTTGTTCCTCTTCTACAATATAAGCACTGCAAAGTTCTACTAATTTTCTGTGTAGATTTAAGAATTGTTCCTGCATGTATGATACTTTAGCATCTAATTCCGTTTCCAATTGTTTCGTTTCGTTCTCATTCGTAGTAATAACAGTTTGGTACGTTATCTCATGCTGTATATGTGCAGCTACCGTTTGCAAAGCTTTATGCCATGATAAAGACAAATTTTCATGCATATCTACTTCTTGTGGTATTATAGCTATTTCCTTCTGCTGATTAGACTCCATATTTATCCTTTGTGTATCAAGATTACTCACACGTTCCTTTAGTAGTTTTACCAACGCATCTTGTTCCTCCAAATTCCTTGCGTGTTCATTTGACACCGCCGTTGCCTTCTGCAGAGCGATCGCCAACTGTTGAAGTGAGATACACTTTGACCGCGCCAGTTCCAGTCGTTCACGTGGAAGAACAGCACAACAGAGACCAACACCTTCGGCTTCCTTTTCCATTAACGTTCCCACTTCTGCAATACAGTCAAGATCCCGTAAACTCCCTTCTGTATACGCACAGGTCTTTGTTGCAGTAGAGAGAGCAATAGCATCATCATCCTTATCATTATTATTATTATTATTATTATTGTTCGTATGCTTATCTTCATTATCATCACCTTTGATAACATTCATTTCTTCCGTAATAGGAGTAAGTTCACATAATACAGGAGGTGGTAAAAGTCCACGCACAGCTTCTGTAGCGTCCTGCATCAGCAATAAGAGCTCTTCACACAAGTGTAGTAGAGGTGCATACTCTGAATGTTGTTTCCACACTCCACGTGACCATTCCAGTAGAATATCTGCAAACCCAACAGGAACTGTGTGTTGTCGTTCAATCTGTTTAATGTGATCTTCCGCTACCGACTGACGCCAACGCAAGTCATTCGCGGCTGTACGCCACTCATTCGGTGAACGTCCCTGTGCCCGTTCTTGTGCCTGTTCCAACAGCCGAACAACATCACCGCTTTTATTGGTGTAAGTTGTGACGAATTGCTGTAGAAGTGTAGCGACGTGTTCGGAGGAGCGATGAACACCAGAGAAAACACCCTGATCTTCTTTCATCTGTGCAAGCATGGTGTGTACTTCTCGCAGCTGAACCTCCCGTTCTTTTACTCGACTTTCCTCTGTTTCGATCTGCGCCTCCAACACCGCCCTCTGTTCTTGCAGTTGATGGATGGTGGATTGCACCTGATTGTTTAGTTGCTCCAACTCATCGGCTTCAGCTGTTAGGGATGATACCATGGTGAGATCCTTTGTGCGTTGTTTAAACATAGACATGGCGGCATTGCGCATCGCCGTAAAGTTATCCTCCACATTTGCCGCTTGTTTGGTAGTAGTGACAACGCTGTTATGTGGGTTACACTGCTGCTGTTGTTGTTGTTGTTGTT